CAATTAGATACAAGCAGCAGAGATTCTGAGCATTATTTGATTAATATTTTCTCCATCTTTGCAAACTGCAGTGCTGTTAACGGTCATAAATTAATTGACCATCCATCTTTTAAAGCCCAGACATCACTTCCCATGTCTTAAAATCCAGAGGAGTAATGAACATGTGCTAATCTACATTACTTCTATTCAGTAAAAAACAGTATGAGATGGGGACCAGGTTGACAAAACAGGGATATTACGACTGAAGTGTCCTTATTCTCTTGCCCTAATTCCAGAGACAGATTAATACTTAAAGCCAAATTACTTGTATTTCCATAGTATATGGTTAAAGCAAGAAGTTTCTCCCTGCAGCACTTCCCAGTAAAGCATGCTAATTCAGTAAATCAATGTTAATGTCATGATCAGCAATTTAACCAAATTATTTACCAGCAATTATTTATCCTTTCCTATCAGCAAAATCCACAGTCATTATTTGATGCAATATTCACTATATATAGATATATATATGTACACAAGTGGAATAAGGTCTGACCAGCTGTGCAGAAACAGAGCTTCCAACAAATTAATTTGTGTTTAGAGAGAGATGTTCCACTGTTTCCAGGTATATGCAGAGCAACAGGATGCAGCAGGGCAGCAGCTTAAAGGTTAGATTTGTAAGAAAAACTCCTTGACTGACATTTTCAAAGCCAGCTAAAAAAAATGGACATTCATTTAAAAGGTAATTTGCCATCCAGGATATTTCTTCCTTCTGTATATCTAGCATTCTACACTCATAAAAATGCTGTGTACAGGCCTGGAAATAAGACTCTCTTCCCACTTCTTATCAAGGGCCTCTTTGTTCTTACATTGTGTGGTTCATTAAAAAAGGAGAATTCTCATTTTCCCTACAATGGAAGTTGTGCCCTCAGAAACCATATATATCCCTGAAACAACCCTTCTGTGGAATCTGTTGCTATCAGACACATATTTCCCTCAGAAACACTCTTATAGTGAAAGAGAAATAGCTTTTCATAAAAGAAACTAAAAGAACTTGAAAAGTAATACAAAACACAATAAAAGTATTTATTTCTAGCAGTGCATTTCTGAAGTATCTATCCTTTTGGAGACGAGTCACAGTTCCCCTAAGGGTTTGTATTAAAAAACACTTTAAAAATACACAGCAGGTTTCTTTAGGGATTCTATCAGACTTCATTTCTAACTGATTTTCCATAAGTGTGTATTCTAAAATAAAAAATCCTGCTAAACACTGATGTCAGGTAGCAGATGAAATCCTCCACTCTAGCACTTCACTCAGGTTGCACCTGAAGAGTATTCGCTGGGGAAAACTACTTGGCTCGACTGTTAGACAAATTAATCTCTGCCCTCACCACACCCCCACCTCGATCACTGTTGAGTGAGCTGCGTGTAAAATGCATTTGCATTTCAGTGACATGTATTTTTAAGAGCCTGCTAATGCTGGGCACGCTTGCTTGGACACACCACCCCCATTTACATTTGACACGGTAAAATTGGAACCTTTCCATTACTCTGTTTTCACTATTCACTAACCCCTTCTATTTTCCAAAGTTTCTTATCCTTCTCGGGAACCTTTATCTCAGAAGCAGGCTGAAGCACCAGGCTCTGCTAATAAGGAGAAAGTCCCCAGTGAGCGCTTGTCTGTTCTAATCTTTATTTTCAGACCACTTCTTCTGCAACATATACTAATTAATTAATTTCCACATTTACTTGCCAAACTCTATTCCATAACGAGTGAGCTTCCACTGTGACTTTTCCCTCTTTCTCTAGTGTGTACCCGCTCTTTTCCAGCACGTCAAGATTTCTGCCACCTGATGCCGCAGCTGGAATATCAACCACATGACATCTTTGACCTCTTCCTCTACTGATAAAAGACAACTTAAGCCTTGCTTTCATCTTTTCAGCATCTCAGCAACATTCAGTTTTCTCTCCCAAAAATTCCACCAGTGTGTTCTTTACAGTAGCAGCCACCCCTCCTCCCCCCCCGTAAGGCTTTCCCGTTCTGTCCACTGAAATTACTCAAATTCCACCTTCTCATCCAAAAAATTAGTTCTGTATTGGGAAAGGTCAAAATTATAAAAGGTTATACCATCTATTTGCCACCTCTACCTGGATCACTTTCTTATTGCAGCTCAGAATATGAATTGGGGAATAGGATCTAAGATGGCACTTGAATAATGTCATGATTATACAAAAGATGGTTTTTCTAAGCTCAAGGTACAAGATTTTCTTTCTGCTACATTATTCAAGCTTGGTCTGAGCCCCCACACTTTTCTGTAGTAATCTTCACCAGAAAAAAAAAATCAAACGAGGCATTTCTCAAATTGTCTTTCCTGGAGCGCATCATTCCATTATTATATTTTATGGAACTGACGCACATTCGGATGACATTTGTGCATATTCATTTTCGGATACCATTAACCTGATATATTTCTAGCTGCCTCTGTGCAAAGCCCCACTGCTGCACAGCGAAGAATCCCAGTTCGTTTGGAACCAGCCAGAATGAGGCACTTCCCAGCTGCCCGCCCTCCGCCCGGACCATCCATCAGAACCAAGCTTCCAACTGCAGCTCTTTGCGACAATCAAGAGAGACACCTGCTGGCAATAAAAGGAAAGAGCGCCGACCATGGACTATCAAGAAAGCACTACACATTTAATTACGTGGATTTATACTTACCCATGAAAATGAACTATTCGTGGCTACCCAATCTGCTGAAATCATACACTGACTTTCATTGCACCATTTCCCAGATGCATCCTGTTTCATTTATGATGCATTTCATCTGTTTATGTTGGATATCATTTGCTACATTATGCAGCTTCAAAAATGTCAGTGGGATGGATGCAGCTTAACACAAAAGGCATTTTATTTACCAAAAGGCTCGTACATCTGGTTTAAAGTTGGAATACGTGCTCTGAGTGCAAGGTATTTTATAGATACGAGTCCTGTAATTTCAACAAATGAATGACAGGATGCCATCCATTAACTATTTCATATATAGCAATTAATTGTAAATGATCAAGCTTTGATGATACTTTAACTAACGTCATGCACAGCAATGACATTGGCACCAAAGGAAGTATTATCATTGCCACAGCACCAGGGGGATGAGAATCCAGCCAGCCTTCCAAGGACGAAGCTAATTTTGCTATAATAGGGCCAAAAATTATTTTTAGACAACTTTCTTGTGGGCTATAAAGGAAAAAAAACCTAGTCCTTAGCCAAGACTTTAAAATCACATTTATCCACAGCCTTGTTAGCTTGGATTTGTTTAGCTTGTGGTTTAGTATTCATATTTTGAACTTTGTCAAGAGCCAAGGAGCAAAATGTGCTGCAGGTGTCGGCACATTGATGATTGTCCAGCAGGGCATTTCAAATAAACAGCAAGGCACAGAATAACCCACTGCTAGTGCAATATTGCTGATGCAGCTGCCTCATATTTGATTCCACCTACTTTTTAAAATTTCCAGCCTTCTTTTCCCAGCTAGGAAACAATGTCTTTCAGCCCTGCTCAGGAAGGAGCCCATTGTTCCACCACCTGCTGAAAGGTAGGAGAAAGTTCCATAAGGAACAGCTACAGTTCCCTCTCCAGGATTTATCCTTGGGTCTCCAGAAAACCCTTGTGACCAGACCTTCCATTTGCTTTAGGAATAAATCAGATTTCACGATATCTAATTTCTAGAAGCAACACTCTAGAGGGATACCTTACTACAACACACCTAATTCACAAAATCCTCTTCCTTGTGCCCTCCCCTCTCTTATTTCTTCTTCTTGGTCACATTCACAGACAATTGTCTCCTTTAACATTTTTGTGACCACATGGCAATAGCCAGCAAGTCTTCACTGTATTTTCCCTCCCTCTACCCCAAAACATGCTGAAATTAGATGACCTTTTTGCATTTTTGCTACAATTTAGTCCATAAAATAAGAAAACAGCAGAGGTGCCCCAGAATTATTTGAAAGCTCACCTTTCATTGTATTAAGGCATTGAACTATTGTTCAAATGAGTTAATTGAAATGATAGCTAAACAATTTTCCAAGAGGCAGCAGAAAATGAACGCTAACATACCTGACTAAACAGTAAAAAGCCCAAGAAATACTAATGCTTCAGGGAAAATATATTTTAAACAAAGTTAAAGCAAGGAGAGGAAAAAATACCTGAGCATTTCCCTTTAGAAGCTTTAAACTGTTTTCAATTATTTTAATAATTTCAGCTACATAATAGAAAAATCACTTCTATGTATATAACTGCAAGAGTCCTCCTAGGGTTCATTACTAAATCAGTCTGGGCTAAAAAGCCCAGTCCTACTTTTTGTCATCTCTCTCCCAGGTTAGGAGAACTTTAAATCCTTGATTTTCAGAGCTTTACTCCAATTCTTTACATCCACCATGATCCACATCATCATCATCATCTAAACAAAAACCAGGCTTGTTTGTCAAAAGTGACCATCTTACATGACAACAGGCTATCCATCAGAATTAGTATTTCTGAGAGAACTACTCCTCACTTTAGATAATCTGTATTTTTGAATGTGTGCCTAGAGGCACAGTTACTGTCTGAAACACACTAACTCTAAATGTATGGATTATAATCTCACTGCTGAGAAACTGGAGCTTCAGCCAAGCGTGTCAGTGGTTCTCAGGGAGCTAATGATTAAGGTGATCTTACATCTGCTCTTACAGGCAGGAGCACTTGGTGATTTTTTTCAAACTCTTATGTTTATTAAATAGAATTGGCTTGACATGATGATGGATGGTCACTCCTTTAAAAATAAAAAGTTATTTTGTTACTGATTTAGTGTATTCTCTTTTCTCCTCCAGATTCTTTATACACAGGGTTAACCTCTCTGCTGGATCATTTGGTTTTTCATGATAAACTACAGAAGAAATATAAAGGAAGAACTGCCAAATGCACTGCTACAGCAACCAGCTAGCTGTAAAGTTATCTTCCAGTAGAAGAAATGAGGTCACAGCAGCTGAAGATGGAACTGCACACAATCCATTTAAGCCATGATATACTATCTATATAGTCCATAAGTCTTCCAAATACTTCAACTGATAGATCTTAAAAAAAAAAAGAAAAAAAAAAAAGAAATTCAACAAACGACCATAACCATCCCAAAAGCCTCAGACATGGCTAAACAATAAGGTCATGATTTTTCCTAAGAAAATAATGGCCCTACTGTAAATCTGTTTAAGATTCACATGATTTAAGCTTTTATAATAACAGAGGAAAGTTAAATAATCAGTCAACATACACCAGTTGCTAGTCCTCTTTATGAAATACATATCTTGTTTGTACACCTTGAGAAAGCAACCTTAAGTGGCTGCAAAGAAAATGCTGCTTTTATCATCATTTCTGTTCATCAATGCATGGCACTCATAAGGGCGAGCAAAGGCATATTGCACTGAAGTACTTCAATGACATTTTTGCTCTGAATCAGCTGTATGGTGAAAATGACTCTTAATGAAACTCATTGTACCATTAGAATACAGTTTCACTGCAATCACCGTGCTTTTATGTTTGGCATGAGCCAGTCTCCATTATTCTTAGTTAATGTAAGTGGCGCAGATTGCACTTGCTGATATGATTTCACATTCCCTGATAGGCTGGGCTGCAGCTCTGAAGAGACTCATTAGTGAGACCACTCACATTCCAATGCTCCTATAATTAGAAACTATCTACATCTCCAAACTTTGGCAATTCTAATCCTGAGGATAACCAGGATAACCTATCTTTTACAGTAACCATTGGCAAGTATTAAAAAACCTCACTTTATATGCCACTACCACTTACACAGTTCTGAAAATATATTACACAATGCTGACCCTCAAAGATATAGCGAGTTTTAAGCACAGTGCTCAGTCCCTAATTATAGTGTAAACTAAAAAAACCCAAATCTTACAGATCCATGCAAAGGCTTTTTTTGTTAATGCCTATTTGAATTAAGTTATGAGCATATGCATATCCACAGTGAAATCCATCCGAATTTTAGAGGCAGAAAATATCCCAAATAAGCTTTGAGGACTATAAATCACACCTGATATCTGAAAAAAAACCACAGATTTATGACAATGTCAACTCCCATCACAGAAATAAAATATTTGGGCGACACGCAGATTCTCTTTCGACCTCTTTCAATTCAAAACAGAAAAAAACAAAACATGAAATCCATTTGAAGACTGCTAAGCAAACTTGATTATTGTCAACCCTCGTAGTGCTTATTGAGCCAACACTAAATGGTTCTGCCATCGGAATTTCAAAAGGTGCTGGGAGTATGGCATATGAACAGCCAGGAACAAGGCATGAGACTGCCTTCAGGATTATTCAAGAGTTCTATTATTTCAAAGCTGGAATGGATTGGGATCTCGTTATTTTTTTTATGTGGTGAACTGTGCCTTTTTTATGCAACCTTACCTGCTGTGATGACTCATTTTGGTAGCACTGAACCCAGATCTCTAGCCTAACGCTCAGTGGAACTCAGCTTTCCCATTCCACAGGGGGTCTCATTACTTCCTTTAAATTGTCAAGTACACAACTGAAACAATATAGTCTCCAGAAAAGAGACAGGCTATAAAAAATTACATTTCAGAAACGAGGTCATCCTAGAGCTATATTTGGTGGCAACAAACAGGGTTTGACAAAGATTTATGTTTAAAGCAAAAGCACCCATCATTAACTCAGATGCAAATAAGGCTAATGAAAGTACTTACCTGCTCAATTAATATGCAGATGTTACTCTGCTCTATCAAAATAACTTAATTCCTTCTCCATCATCCTACACATACTCACAGAGAAGCTAAAATGCATAAATCCAAGGAATTTCAAAAGAACTTTTCAGAGAGCCTGCAGGTAGATCAGTTTTTAATGCTGCTTTTATTTCATTTGTAGAACCTGCAGCACTTTGTCTTGTAAAAATGTAGTATCTAAACCACTCCTGAAGCCACTGGATTCCCATTCCCAACACTCCTTAGAAGAACAGGATGTAATGGCAAAGAGGAGAAAACCCTCAAAACATACAAAGCTCCCCCAGTTACCAGATTTGAATGCCTTTGGGCAACTCCTGTTTTCCAGAAAACTTCTTGTTTCTTACCTCATATTGTGTTCTTGGAATAAGGCAGGTGTTTTGAACTCAGTAACTCAGAAATCATCAGAGAGAGGCAGAGCGTCATGGTTCCTCTGCCAAAATCTCCAACTTCTGTGACTCACCACACTATAAACACGTATAAGATTGAAACACCAGCACTGAAAAATAGTTTGATTTATACTTTCTAGCCAAAACAGCAGATTTTCTTCATATCCTAAAGACTGGCATAGACTCACCTGAAAATTAAAAATTCATTTCTTACACAGCTAGTGCTTTTTGCATTTCTGCTAATCAGTCCAAATTTCTATTTCAGGCACTTAGTCTCCGGCTAATTTTGTGTTTCAATTGAAAATTCATCTCTTAAAAACTTTTTAATTAGCACTTCTTTCAAGTTGTATAATTGTTAATTAGTTGCTCTCTGTTAATTTTAAGTTTGCTGGCACAGTGCTTTGAGACTTTATAAATAGCCCACTTCATACTGGTTTGTATTATTGTAATGTGGCACATCTAGCAGGGCAGAGATGCATCAGGGAAGGGAGTGGCATTCCTTTGAAATCCATATCACTAATAAATCCTACAGATTATAAACTGAAACCAGTATGAACTCAGTAAAAACAGTTAGATTGTATTATTAGCAAATAATACAGATTATTGTGGTAGGTTAGCCCTGGGTGGACAACAGGTAGCCACCAAAGCTGCTCTATCACTTCCTTCCTCAGCTGGACAGTGGAGAGAAAATGATAAAAGGCTCATAGATTGATATATGGGCAGCAAAAAACCACTTAAAAGTTACTCTCATGGGTAGAACGGACTTGACTTGGGGGAAAATAATTCTAAATCTGAGCAGGATATTGTGAAATAAAAACAAGTCTTAGAACGCCTTCTCCCCATGCCTCCTTTCTTCCCAGGCTTAAGTTTACTAACAATTTTCTCTACTTCCTCTCCCACAGCAGCAAAGGGGACAGAGAATGTGGGTTGTGGTCAGTTCATCACACATTGTCACTGCTGCTCCTTCCTCCTCACACCCTTCCTCTGCTCCAGTGGGACCCACAGGAGATAGTCCTTTGCAAACTTCTCCAAACTGGGTCCGTTCCGCGGGGTGCAGTCCTTCAGGAACAGGCTGCTCCAGCGTGGGTCCCCCATGGGGTCACAAGTCCTGCCAGCAAACCTGCTCCAGCGTGGGTTCCTCTCTCTGCCACGAGCCTGCTCCAGTGTGGGCATCCCACAGGGTCACAGCCTTCTTCAAGTGCATCCCCTGCTCCAGCATGGGCTCCTCCACAGGCTGCAGGTGGATCTCTGCTCCCCATGGACCTCCATGGGCTGCAGGGGCACAGCTGCCTCCCCACGGGCAGCACCATGGGCTGCAGGGGAACCTCAGCTCCGGCACCTGGAGCACCTCCCCCTCCTCCTTCTGCCCTGACCTGGGTGTCTGCAGGGCTGTCCCTCTCACATTCTCACTCCTCTGTCCCAGATGCTGTTGCACAGCAGTCTTTACCCCTTCTTAGATATGCTAGTATGGAGCCACCACCAATGGCACCGTTTGGCTCAGCCTTGGCCAGCAGCAGGTCCACCTTGGAGCCAGCTGGTGTTGGCTCCATTAGGGAGAGGAGAAGCTTCCAGCAGCTTCTTCCAGCAGGTTCTCACAGAAGCCAGCCCTGTAGCACCCCACTACCAAAACCTTGCCATGTGAACCTAATGCACTTACTAAAATTATTCCAATCTACATTAATACATTGTGGTAGTAGTCACATGTCTAAGTTGGGTTTGGGTTGAACTACACCAACAACTTTTCAAACAGAAACAAGTGACAAATGACACGCAGTACAACAGTCAAAAAATATTAAGTACAATAATTGAAAAACATAGTATGACTCTTCTACTCATCATTAAGAAACAGCAAGACAAATGTCACAAATGTGAGAGACAACATGGAAAAGGAGCAGAAACAAACAGGGGGAGAAGGAAGGTCACAGCTCGCTGCCTGCAATCCCATGCTTTGCAAGTACAGCACAGTAGTGCCTGTAGAGATTTTTAGAAGCTTCTCCCCTAGAAAGGAGAAAATACAGCAATTTTTGCTGGAGAATCTGAATGACAGACAACAAAGGCTGCGAATTTGGGAACTGAAAGTGGAAAGTTGGTATAAAATATACTATTGGACCATCCAGGAACTCCAACATAATTAAATCAACTAAAAAGGCAGGAAAAAGACAACTAACCTAAAAAGCTAAACTAAAAAGAAGAGATGGCAGAATATCCATGCTGGAAGGCCTCAACTGAGTGCAAAAAAAGAGTGATCTACTAGTATATATTTTAAATAACACATCAGATGTTAAATCTAACTTTTTGCAATAACTTTTGATGGCATCTCAGGGATGAAAATTTGTGGGTTTTTTTTAATTGACATCAAAATTCACTGTAAAAGCAGAAGAGCTGTAGCTTTTGTGGCTTTTACAGACATGTAAAGCAACTTGTGTGAAAACATGAATTCATGCACGTACACACAACATTCCGAGTATCAGTAGTTATTGTCACTAACATTGCAGAATAACTACTATTGCAAATAACGTGAGAATATTTTAGCTGCCCTCAGACTTCATAACTTTAATTCACTATTCTTAGTTTCTCTCAACAGAAAAGTCTTTCAAAAAGCTTTTACATACTGTAGAAAAGAGGTGGCTGGAATACTGTCACTACAGCCTTTGACGGCTAGATGAGTAAAAGACTTGTTTCTCCAAAATTAACACTTTCACAAGCACTTCAAATATCAGCACTTAAATACACGGAGATGAACCCGCTAAATCTGATAAATCGTGGCTCGCTACCAAGTGTATGTGTTTGCCTCCCTCTACCGGATCACATGTGTATAGCTGCTGGCCGAAAAGCACACACAGACATCTTTTGTGTCAAAACTCCGATCTTTGTATCATTTAAACACAGGATTAAATCATCCCAATTTTGGAAACAGATTTTCAACGCCCAAGGTGAAGGCACTCGCCTGACCTGTATAAATAAGGCAATTTTATCTTTGTTAAAAGCAGAGTTTTTCTCACGTCTCACAGCATGACGTTCTTGAGGGACAGAAAAGAACTGTCTGAAATTCAACGAAGGCAAAAAGGTCCTGCACCTGGGGGAGAATAACCCCGCGCACCAGCACAGGCTGGGGGCTGACCTGCTGGAAAGTAGTTCTGCAGAGAATGAACTGGGGGTGCTGGTGAACAACAAGCTGTCCAAAATCTGATACAAAATGATGAAAGAAAAATGCTAGAAAAAGTGTTATCAGTACCCGTGAAGTTACAACACTTGTATTATGCTCTTTCCTTCAAAAATTTGCCTCTTTGGTGAACACAAGTACCTTCCTCTTATTTCTCAGCGCAGTTTTGCCCTTTTAACCCCTTTCAGCTGAAAATCTACATTCTCTGTTTGAAAAGAGTTACTTTTCTCTTTTCACTAAGACAGATCTCCAGAAACTTACAATTGCTGCAATGGATCAGGGCCAAGACCGACCTTGAGGTTCTTGGCATTCTACCCCTGCTGTTTGTAATAAATGACCACAACTTCACAATACACACGAGTGTTAATGAATATCCACATTCTGCCTCTCCAAAATGAAGTACATATACTGGCTTTAACTCTGAAATATTGCACTAATAACTCTTATCAAAATGCTTATCCATAGCTATCCATGTTTTCCATATAAGCACTTTTAAAACTGCAAGTTATACTGCAGAAATCCTTGATGGTGCAATGGCAAGGCCATATTTACTCTACTGTGGTGACAGAAAAGGCTCACAGAAGAAAAAGTTCAAATTCTGCTATTCAAAGTATCACTGATTTAAAAGTAGATCAATATTACCCCGAAGTGAATTGCACCCACAAAAGGGAAACCAAATTAGAGCATAAACAAAGACACATTGAATCAGATTCAAATAAAATAGCAATGTGGTTTGCATGTTCAAAGATAAAAAGGAACTTATGAAAGATAAGTGGAAGCACTGGGCTTTCTGCTGGTTTCAGAAGCTGGGCTCCCTGCAAATCCTGCACAAGCACTGGTTTGCTTTCAAAAGCAACCCAAAAAGATCTAGTTAAGGAAAGGTTATTAGCTTTTACTATACATTCTCAAATCACCATGGAAACAAAACCAGACACTTGCAGGCGCTGTGTCCACCTAGTGCCTGGGCTTTCTCCTCACATCATCACACAGAATGAACTGTACTGGTGGTTCTTGTCTAATCTACTGAGAACTGAGGGGGAGGAAATCTTGTTATCAGACTTCTCGTCTGATCAGTTTTTATTTTATTTTAATTTTTATTTTTATTTCAAATATGTGTGTTCCATTTACAAAATATGCAACCTGTACCAGTATTATACTGGTACTGGAATTTTAGTTATGTAAGCAAGTGAGCCTTGGCTCCAAGTCCGAGCACACTCCCTAAACAGTGCACATTAAAATAAAATACTAAGTGACTCCTGACACTATTTTTCTGTCCCTACCCCTTTTCACAACACTGACTGTCACTCTTGTGACATCTGTGCATCTGTAGATCAGCCGAGTTTCAAAACATTCACATCAGTATCTGCTCACAGCACAGAGCACTACAGTTAAAGTATACAGAAGTCCAGGTTCTAGAAAAACTTCCCATTTTATTCAAGGGAAAGCTTTAAAAACAGAATTTACTTCAGAGCACATAGCAGTCGTTTCAGGGTTGTGCATTGCTGAAGTCTGCTCAAGGCTGTGTTACTACTGCAGTGGGCTTTTCACCTCGTTTTAAGTGAATTTACCAATTGTAACTAATCTCCACAGCCCCTGCAGTCATCAGTCCTTTACCAGAAGCACTGGTTTAGCACCTCTCTTATTAGGGTTGTGCAAAACACCTGGAGTCGGCTTAAATCCATCCCAGAAGTCCTCCTGCTGAAAGCCAGAGAGGTTCTCTTTGTTCTGAGCTCCACAGCAGTATTCAGCAATGCCCCACTAGCTGCCCAGGGCTGGAAAGGGGTTGTCATATTTCATGGAAAAAGCTAAGGCTAAAGAAATAGCAGCCAAATAGTATTAATGACAAGTCTCATCCCGAAACACAAAAAAAATCATGGAAGATTATATTTTTTGAGGGGGGTGGGAGGGGAACCCCTACTCCCCCAAAACCTTATAATCCTGAACATCAGATACGCAGGGCATTATCCAAATGCTAAACTTTGGGCTAAACTTTGGCATTATCCATGAGCAAGCACCCGAAGACGAAATTTTCCCTAATCTCACCACCAACATCCTTCCATCGTCAGTCCATGGCTCCTTTCTTTCACAAACAGCCTGAAGATAAACTTCTAAAAGTTAAAAGACTTTTGGGAGAACGCCTTCCTGGCTTCTTTTACCAAAGGCAACTGTCAGAGCCTAACGCGCCCCTGAAACACCACGTTCCCGGCTCAGAAATAAAACCGCTGGGTGAAAACACCTGCCCTTCCATAAGGGAACTCCGCAGCGCCGGGAAAGTGCGCTCTGCCGTGCGAGACAGACGCCGGGAGGCTAAGAACTCGGGACAGAGTTGTTTTTTTTTTGGGGGGGGGGGGGGAGGAGAGAAGGAGAGGGAAGGGAGAAGGAGAGAGAAGGGTGAAGGAGGGGAAGGAACGGGGGTCCCGAGACCAGCCCCGGGCGCCTCGAGGCGGCGGCGGCGCCTCGGGCACAACCGCCGGTACCGCCCGGGGCTGGGCCGGGGGTTCCTCGGGCACAACCGCCGGTACCGCCCGGGGCTGGGCCGGGGCTCCTCGGGCACAACCGCCGGGGCTGGGCCGAGGCTCCTCGGGTACAACCGCCGGTACCGCCCGGGGTTCCTCAGGCACAACCGCCGGTACCGCGGCCGCCATGACCGTGCAGCGCCCGTCGTGGCCGCCGCTGTACTTCCCGCACTTCCACGGCACCGAGCCCGTGCCCCGCCCGGCCGGCGGCCCCTGGGCGCCCCTCGCCGCCATGTGCTGGCCCTGGCAGCCCCTGCCGGCCGCCGCCGCCGCGGGGCCCCCGCCCCGCTACGCCGCGCTGGCCGCGCCCCTCGCCCCGGAGCCGCTGCGCCCCTGCGGCCCCGCCGGCGCTGGGGCGCGGGGGGCGCGGGGAGGGGGCGCGGGGCGGGGGCGGCCGGCGGAGCAGCTGCAGCTGCAGCTGCAGGAGGAGATGTGCGAGCTGGGCATCCGCCTCAAGGAGCTGGAGCTGGCGGCGCTCGTCGGGGACGGCTTCGACGCCAGGCAGTGTGCGTCCCGCCCGGGAGCGGCCGGCGCTGCTGGGATGACACCCCCCGCCAACCCCCCAGCGCAGCCCGGCCGCAAGGGCAGCAGGTCCCCCCATCACCCTGGAAGGGTGGTCTGTGCCCCGCAGCAGCCCAGGGGACACGGCACGGCTGGGCGAGCACAGGGGTGCAGGCAGCAAAAGCACTGTCCCAGCTCATCTTCCCGGGCTGAGGGCACAAGTTAAGGGAGGCGTAAGAATTAGGGATGCAGTTACAGTTGCGCAAAGGCACAGACACCACCACCCCCCACCTCTCCGAGGTGTTAACGAGAAAACAACGCAGAATCAGAGGGAGTTTGTACGTGCAAAATGTGTCCGCTACTAATGAGACCCTACGGTTGTAAATCGCATCGACGTGGAATAAACGCCACTGACGGCCACAGATAGATGGAGGGCGGGGGGAACCCGAAACAAGCTAAACTTTGGCATTTTAATTTTATAACCCGCTGGCCGTGAAGGAAATGCAAGAAATAAAATAGTTCATCAGGTCGTGATACTTTAAGAGTTCCAGCAGCGAGGCCAACAGCTGTAAGGATATGATGCTCCTCATTTCCTTCAGGGCCACGGGCTGCTAGTCAGGAAACCTTCAGCAGTGCAAAGGTTACAAGAACACAGAAAAAATGTGCATCAGATATACACATTTGAAGGAAGATCTCAAAGACATTCTGATAGGTAGCTTGCATATATTTACTTTTCAGAACAGGAAATTAATAGTTTTTTCCCTTGTTATAGCAAATGTTTTTTCCATTTTAATACCTATTGTTTTGAGAAACTGTAGGTTTCAGATATTTCCTAGACGAGTTATTGTAAGGAATATTATTAGTTTGCTTAATACATTATTTGATTTTCTCAAAAGTATTAATGACAAAATTAATGACAAATTATGTTTTATTCCTGTTTAGATAAACTTCTGAAGGCACTGGAAGAAAAGAAGATACAAAGCATGAAAGCACTGCAGAACCTGAAATAATAGCCACCAACACGATGAGGATTATTTCAGCTGAATATTCTGCCACTATATCTCTATGGAGTATTTTAATGGACCTTCAATAATGGGTTTCTACTTATTAAAAAATATAGTATATTGTTGCATTTTTTTGTTTATTAATTGTCTAGCACTAGTTACTGATAACACTACTGTATATTTTACCTTTTTTTTTTCTCCAGTAACTATATGTAGACAGGATGCATAATATTGTCTTCAAAACCACTGTGAAATTAACACTGCTGTTTTCAGGATTCCCAGCACTCCATTGATGGAGATATGTGTGGCCAGGAAACGCAGTAACTGTAATACAAAATATAGTGGAGGTTTTTTTGTCTTTTAGTTCTAAGTACATTAAGTGCAACTTTGAGTCAATAGGTATGGTCAAAGGTCTATACCTCTAAGCCAGCTCTAAAAAACTTTCATGTTAGCATAAAAATCTTTTGTTACAATCACAGTCTTTAGTCTACCACAAAATTACGGAAGTTATGGCTTGAGTTAGTTTTTAACAGAATAGTCATATAACATTGATTTTCAATTAACATTTTATTGTTGTTTTAGGAATAACTGTGCTTAGGCTAAAGCAGTAGTTTTGAAGTGACAACATCCTTATGTTTGGAAGGCACATCCTTTCATGAGGAAAAATTAAAGATCTGGGGAACATTTACTGTTCAAAAATAGTGCCATACATGGCATGGAGAATAACCTCACAAAGTGGTAAACAGGCTCATCAGACTGATAAAAAGATACCAATTACTTTTTCCTATTCTAATTCTAGAGCAGTAGGTGGCAGCATGAAATAATAAAGTTACTGACCCTGAAGCTGTCATATTTTGGCAAACAGCTTTATTTTTAAGTCTAATATTTTAATCTGTGGTTTTCTAAACTGTGTTCCAGTTGCTCAACTGTGAAGCGTTTTAACACAATACGATATCAAAATTTTATTTCCTATTACTGCTTATTACAGGATTCACTCTTATACTATCTCAGTCTTTCCAGCCAGATTCTGATCTACCGTACACAGAGTTTATATTAAAAAAAAAAAAAAAATCTAATTTATAACTCCTATTTCTCAATCATCAAACTATAACAATCAGCTTTTATCAGAGCACTAGGAAATCTTAAACGGAATCTTACCCTCTGCACTGGCTGTTGCCAGCTAGTGTCCCTGCTGACATGGCAATCCATGGCTTCATCTGCTGATCAATGGGCTTTTTAACAAACCAAAGCCTGAGCAGGGTGGTGAGACCGGGCTCTGTCCAGTGGTCTGGTGTTCCTCAGGCAGGGCATGGAGAGGGACTCAGGATGGTGGAGGTGGGAAGCCCAGGGGTGGGACTGGGGACAAGGCTTCTTTTAACGCAGGCCCAGGGAGGGTCTCACTCGGGGTTCCTGCAGCCTCAAGGTGAGCCCCAGGCCCTGGCAGCTGCCTGTAGACAGGGTCAGGGTCAGCAGTGGCCACTGTGAGCTTCTTTTTCTTTTGCACTCCATCATCCATTTCAATTCAAACACCCTTCCTCTTTAGCTGGCTGAAGCCAGGTCTTTAAGCCCACCTTGGCACCATTTAATTGCTGCTTAGTTCTTTGGAGTCTAATTAATAACACCGTGCTCCTGGCTAAACAGTTCTGTTTTCACTACTTTGCATATTTTAAGCTTTTTCACTCCAGACAGCACCATAAGTCACTTCCAAAGTGGGCTTCATAAATGAGGTATTTTAACACCTGGTCAGGAAATGCTCACAGAACCACCCATGATTTATCTCTCTTTCCAGGCACATCTGAGAGGCTGAGGCTGTAAATAAACAAAAGGTAAATCTATGTGCCTAAAGAACAAAATTATCACTGGAACACCTTGGAAATCTGGACTGAAGTGTTTCACTGCTCCCTCTGCAGAATGAGGATAAAAATTCTCCCAAAGAGTTTTGAGGCTAAACCTGAAATGGTTAATTACTGTGAAAATGCAAATGGTTAAACTGAAATAGTTGATTACTATGAAATTGAGAATTGTGTCAGTGCCTAAACTGAGTATCGGAAAACAAACTTGGATTAAACAAAAAGGGCCAAGACACAGAGGCCTTCAAAAGCTTTGTGCAGAAGTAAGAGCTTTAAAAATCAAATTAGGTAGCAGAGAAACTATCTTCATTTTTCCAAATCTGCAGAATAATTTCATTCCTTAACTACTCTAAGTTTTCCAAGGTTATTGCAAGGGCCTATAAGGGTTTCCATTACATGCAATCACTGCTTCCTAACTGTTACTTCTCAGCTTTTACCAAGTCTTTCACTTTGCACCCAGCTCTCATCAGCCGTTATCCGCTCGGGTTTTCTTGGCTTAAAAGAGCTGCTTTTCCCAACACACAGTTTAAATCTTTTTTTCCATCTGTTGTTCAGTTTTTCATATGGCCTTTATCTTAAAACAACACTTCATATTTAATTACTGGGCGATAATGCAAGGAATAATGTCAGTTAATATGTAAGCTCAGTTAAAGTTGCCTGGGGACACACATCTACTGGAAAAAGTCATTTGGCTCATGTGCCAGAACAAGGCAGAATGGTCTCCCTTGGCCAGCATCACCCACAGCACTCTTCTATCAGGATACTTTGGCCAAAGCCCTTTCACTGAAGCATCTCCACATTCCAAGATGATCATTAAAGAATGGTGGAGAGGATCACTGGATGTGTGATTAAGTAATACCCTTTTGTGTGTGTGAAGTAGCACCTACAAAAAGAACTTAGAGACTGTAGGAGAAACATGGGACACATGATGTAATATTTGTGCCTGAAAGTAACCACTGTTTGTACTCTCAGTTGGAACTAGTAACACACTCACATGCATGAATTCAGCAGGGGAGTAATAAGCTTGTCCATACCTGGACAAACAACCAGGTTATTAATACATAATGGCACATATGCTGATTTTTATTTGTCCCTAAACATTTTATTTACCTTTATTTTTCTTCTGTGTTTCCACCTGACCTTGTTATATCCAGTAATTTGCTCTCATCTTTGCGGGCTTATGGGTTCATCTGAAAGCTAATGTGTTTATAATTTCTTTTGTAACAATTAAGCATATATTAAACAGAAGAGCATTCTTACTGCATTTTCTTTTATTCACAATGTTTGTGACATTCATTTTTTTAATTGTTTCTGTTCTCTCAGACTGCTCAGGCGTGGCTAAACCTGATATTTAGATGCTGGCATAGCTCAGACCTCTTTCATACAGCGGCCTTGTGACTCAACAAATTGCATTCCAGGAGGAAACATTAGGCTACAAATTTGATCCATGGGCAGAGATCTCAAAACATTATCAGTAGGTTGCTCCCATTTTCCAATTCTAAACAAAGAAAACTTCTCCTAAAGCAGATTGTCACGTCTTTGCAGCCAACACAAGGGCTGAGCAATGACAGCTGTCTCGCTGAAAGAGCTGTGTC